TTTTTTTTTCCATTTTGAAATAATATTTCATGTTGTAATGGGCACATTTTGTATCATAAAGTATTTTGAGAACACCAAATTGAAACGGATGTTTTTGAAGAAGAAAAGGAAAAAAAGTCTCTTCAATTTCCTTTCCCTGGAAATGTTCCTTATCAGAATTTTCAGTATTAGAAGTCTTCATCTTACTTTTGGAGGAAGGTCAGTATCCAAAGACTGAAAAATTTTGGTAAGAGCCTCTTATACTATATTGAATTGTTTAATTTCATTCATTTTTGCTCATTTTTCTGATCCTGTATAAAGGATCTTAGCAATTTGAATGATGTTCTCATAACTCACCTCTAAATACGTGGAAAAAAATTGTCGCTGGAAGAATTTGACTTAACCCTGCTGTCAAATGGCCGTAAAAGAACGTCTGGGTCAACCGAAACAGCTCAGTGTGACGTCTCCTGGCCACACTGCCTTGTCCCTCACCAGTTCAGAGAAAACCAGCAGCCCCAGCTTGTCTTTGCAGGTGGACTTATAAGGACATATCACATTAACAAGTAGGAAGTTGGGGTTTGCTTTCTTTTTTAAAGATATTTTTTAAAGATATTCCAGGTTCACTGTTGCCCTCAGAGACACCTGCCAAGCTCCAAATGCAGACAGGTGTCGTATAAGTTATTATACAATATCATACTTATCCCTCAGTTATTGAAGGATGGATCTGCCTCAGTTCAGCTTGACTGGGATGCCTGGAGTCTGCGGTTCTAGCTCTGCCATTCCAGCTCCCTCTGCACCCTCAAGGTGCTCGATGACTTGATGACACTGCTATTTCCTCCCCTCCAGACTCACTATTAGCACGCAAGCACAGGCAGAGAGCTGCTTTAATAGCCATCAAATATCTCTGTTAACAGAACCTGAGATTCATCAGGAGGATTGCACGTAAAGGGAAGCCCAGCTAAGGGGCTGTGTCAATGAGGCAATGCTGGGAACTACACCCACCTTCTTGAGCCAAGTATTCATTCTCGATGATCCGGGCCAGGCCAAAATCAGCAATTTTGCAGCAGAGCGTCTCCGAGACGAGGATGTTGGCGGCTCTCAGGTCGCGGTGGATGAAGTTCATCCGCTCGATGTATGCCATTCCTTCTGCCACCTGAAAGAGAAGGAAGGGCCCTGTCTTAATCCATACACTTTCCTGAGATCACATGTTGGCCATATACATCTTGACAAGCACACACGTATAAATGATGTGTGTAGGGTTGCCAGCATGTATATGGACCTCCAAACATGCTCCATGGATGGAGAATAGATAGATGATTGATAGATACATAGATAGCTAGAAGAATAGATAGATTAATAGATAGATAGATGGATGGATACTGGCCATGTATGTCTACACGTTTGCAGATCTACCAACATGCCTCCTGCCTCTAAAAGCTTTAAACAGTCAGGTCAAGCATAACAGAAACACTACTCTCAGTTTTGCTCAGGAGTTACAGCTTTGAGACATTCCTCAATTAGATGCAGAAAGTTGAAGCAAACCTGAACCCACATTACTGGATTCCCAGTTTCTGCCACAAGATTCTCCCTTATGGTTGGGGTTTTAATCATAAACATTTCAGACTAAATATATGCATTAAAAACCAAAAAAGTTCAAGGAGTGCATCAGTCCAATGGTCACAGTAGAAAATTTCAGATCTAAGACAGATAGATATTCTTCCACAACCTCCTCTCTGATAGTTACATGAAGCAGAAAACACAGCCATCCATTGGGATATGACTGGGATAGAAGGCAGATCCCTGCACAAATCTCTTATCATGGGCGCTCACTGCCTTCTTCAGGCACTGCAGAAAATTTACTTTGGAAGGGATTTAATTTTTTTTTTAGACTCTCTCATCTTGGAGCAGGGAGCAATGCTGTGGAGGTATCTAGCACATCATGAGCCCCTGGAAGGGATGGCAATGATCTTTTATTGACAAGCACTGAGGGACTTAGCAGAGGGAGAATGAGCAGTTTCTATATCCATTAAACCTCAAGTTTGGGACAGGCTTTTATCAGAGGCTGGGTGGATATATGTGTTTCCTGCTAATAATAATAGTTATCACCTATTTAAGCTTTCCTGTGTCTGCAGGTGAAGGCAAAGCAATTTTCCACTCCATACAGATTAATATCAGCATCTTTGCTTGCATGTGGTTTTAAACAGGATACTAACACATACTTTCCAATGCTGAGTTTCTAACCTGTGTCAACACCCATTCAGCGCAAGTGATGTTTGCTGCAGTGGAAAATGGAAGAATTGATGTCATTTCCTGTCCTGATGTTAATGAGATAGAACCCAGAAATGGGTTCGTATCAGCCCAGACTGCATTTGAGCATGTGCCCTCAAAAATGACCACAGGATCAAGTGCATCACCTCAGAACTAATTGCTAATTTTAACTCCCGAGGATGGTATTGAATCCGAAACTGTGCTCTTAGCGGGCCAGGCGCTTTTGGGGCCATGGTGTCGTCAAGACACCACAAGTAAACAGATTGTGAAATAGTTCAAGAAACTTCCCTCCTCCTCCTCCTCCCAAAGATATCGAGAGATTTTTTTGAATACTGCTGCATCATGGGAGATTCATGATGGGAGGATGGTGACGGAGTGATGCAAGGTGGCCTTCAGACTGACACCTCCACAGGTTCATGTCTCCACAGGTTTTGGGGGACAGGCCTAAAGATTCTGGCCAGCTCATGTTGTATTATCTGAATTCAGAGAGGAGGTTTGGGTGCTCATCTTCAAAGGATGCCCAGAAGCAGGTGTCTCCTGGACACCATAGCCCTGTAGACAGGTTCCTGTAGACAGGTTGTTGACAAACCTTTATAACCCTGTTCCCTAAGGCCACCAGGATCCACTCCCCAGATGCTTGCACACACCTGCCCAGAGATACTTTGTTATTCCAGGTGCTCAAAATGGTTATAAACTCCGTTAAATAAATTCACTGCGACTTGTAACTTCTGCTGTCTGTTCCTCAAATCTGGATGCCACATTGGCTTTGCTACAGAGCTTTTTGGGTCATGCCTGTAGCTGCAATTGAGTTCAGATTACCCTGGCTTTGATGTTTTCTTTTTCCATATTAATACCTCCTTGCACGTTCTCTGGTTTAACTCTCTTCTACAAGCCCAAAGTTCTGTAACATAGATGAATTTGGACCCCCTCTGCTTATCATCAGGAAATCAAAACAAACCACAAGCCATTGTGTATTTTGTTCAGGAGAACAAAATAACATGGGAATGAAAAGGAAAGAAGAGATGAAAGAGCAAAATTTAAAAAAAGTGGAAAAAAGAAATAAGTGAACAAGAAAAGAAATTTAAACAGAGAGGCTGCATTTGGCTCTGTAACCTATCAAGCTAAAAAATGGCAAGTTTTATCAGTAATGAAGAGGAAAAATACTCAAATATGCTCCTCCACAACATTAATGGGGGTCAGAATAAAAAGAATTTTTTTTAAAAAATGATGTAGGGTGTTAAAATGTTTTGCCTCTGGGGAAAATAAGAAGCAAAAATTTTCACTATCAAACAACATTTGCTGAAACCTTAAGATTCCCTGCTCTTTAACGCACTTTATAACAACTGTATGATGGCAGAAATCAACTTTGCACAGTCTTTGCTCAGCTGGCTTTGGCCCAGAGAGGCTGGGTGGTCTTGTGGTGGGTACGTTCCAGACCTGTACCTCAAGACAGCTGTACTCAGCCGTGACACTGACTCTTGTTACATTCAGCATTTCCAAAATTAGCTTAACTGTACTCAGTCCAACAACACTGGCAACAGCTGTCCAGGACCAAAGAAAAGGGATTTTGCCAGTCTCATCCTCCATGTATAGCTCATTGCCAAGATGCTGCTACTCTGTGTCTCAGCTTCCCCAGCTTTTTGAGTTCAGATGTCCTGCTGGATTGAAAAGATAACTTTGACATTTATTGCCCTGGGGAAGCTGGGAGGGAAGTAACCCTACTAAGGCAAAAGTTTGTTCTCACGAGGAGCAATATTTCTGGATTTGATAGACAGATCATCCTTTGTGCCTAATCATCAGAAGGGAGGACCTGCTGAAAGCCAGTACATACCCACATCGAAAGTCTTTTTGTTGAGATTTCTCTTCTTTTGGTAACAAGAGAAACAAAACTATTTCCTGCTCAGTAAGACAGAAAAAAAAAATCACCTCCAGCGCGTCACTTAAGTTCCTCAGAGGGTTAACTAAAGAAGGGAGAGCAATGCCAAGCTGACATCCGTATTAGGTAAAAGTGCTGAGGGAGAAATCCTTAGACAGCACACCAGGAGGTGCTGTTTTTCTCCATGAAACTGATGCTCTGACACTCACACACTTTAAAATTGCAAGAATTTCCCTGGGAAAATAACAAATCGTGTCTAAAGCCCATTCCCCAGTGTCTGTTCACTAACCTGAGCAGACATATCAATAAGTTTCGGGAGACTGAGTTGACTTCCTTCGTCTGTCTTCAAGTAATCCAGCAAACATCCTACAAAAGAAGAGAGGCTGTTGCCACTCTTATGGAAAACTGTATGAATTTACTTTCCCTGATTCTTCACTGAATATAAGCAAAAAATCTACCGGCAGCCTAGACAAAACCCAAGGAGCAACCATCCCTAAGAGCATCTTCCATTAGGATAGATCCCAAATGCAGCCAATTTCCCCCTCCCCACTCTGACCTTTTGCAAAATCCTGTGTTCTTCACTCAAAGCCTCATAGGCAAGAGTGGTAAAAGAAATAACTTTTTCACCATAAAGGGATTAAAAATGAGAAACAAAGTTCCAACAGAAACCATGGAGATGTTCAAATGGAACATCACCATTTTGCAAAGGGGCTTAAAAATAGAGATCACAAAAGGCAGGAGTTGATGATTGCGGAAAAAAATTCCAATACTGGAAACAACCCCTTAATCTTTCTTCTTTCAGATCTGAGAGAGTCCTCTCCACATTAGGCAAGGTAGTACTTGTCAGCTCATTGATGTGAGCTCTTTTCTAGAAAACCCAACCAAAAAGTTCCTTACCATTGACCATGTACTCCGTGACAATGTAGATTGGCTGCTTGGTGACTACCGCATAGAGCCGGACAAGTTTGTTATGCCGGAGCCTTTTCATCAAGTTTGCCTCTGCCAAGAAGGCTTCAGGATCTGTGCTGCCCTCCTTCATGGTCTTCACAGCCACCTTGATGTTGTTCTTGTAGTAGCCTGCAGGGAGACAATGATACAATGAGGAATTTTGGCCTCTTTTTAGGCTCTCTTGTGGTGTGCAATAAGGAATACAGGAGTCTGTAGATTTAGGAGCAGAAAAGCACAGCAAGAAAGTGGAAAGAAGTGCCAGGGAAGAGGGTCGGAATGTGCTCGGCATTGTTCCTAACGGGTCTCAGAGGTGTCTTGAGGGACCTGTGCTTTGGGGAGTGGGAAACATTTCCCCATGCATGTTGCCATCTAGCTCAGCAGGGCTGGAGACCAAGACACTAAGGGGATTTGACTGGTGGCTTTGCCATGCTGTTTGTATGTAGGGGAAGAAGGCAAACTTTGTGGATCCCCTTCCAGAGCAGCTGATGAGAAAGGCTCAGAGATCAATGGTTTTTAATGTGCCAGCAAGAAGTGAGTGGTAAATCTGAGTGACAGTAGCAATAGGGCTGGCAACAAGCAGAGATGAGAGCAGTAAAGAGACACACAGCACAGCTGCCAATGCGCATGGGTTCATAAGGAGTTGTTGCTGCTCCTGTCAGGATTTTGCAGTCAAGAGGTAGACTCTATCTAGTCTTATGTACTGTCTAAATTCCCAAGGCAACAGGTAACCACAAAACATGGCAAAAGAAGCTATGTCCCACTTCATCTTCCACGAACCAGCAATGTGCAAGGACTCGTAAGGGATGCAGGGCTGGGTTAGTGGGGCAGGCTCTGCAGGGGGACAGAGTGTCAGGAAAGCAGAGAAGGTGGGAGAGTGTCAGCTGAGTATCCTGCTGTGTGCCATTTAGGATCCCACATTCACACCCAGGATCTCTGAGCAGAAATGTGAGTGCATGCCATAGGAAATGAGTATTCTTTGGCATCTCTTGCAGGTAATTAACCTATGAAACCCATGTTGAACTACTGGTTTGTACAAGCACTACCTTTCTGATCCTTCACAAGGACCTCTAGCATTGCTCCCACATGTGCATCCATAAAGTATGTTTTCATAGTTTAGGGTTCCCAGATCCAGGTAAGTCTTGTCTTAGAGAAAGCGGGTTTTCCATCTCAAGGTTGCATGTTTCTTTTCTGGAATGGAGTGCCTTGTGCTTACCCATCCACACTTCTCCAAACTGCCCGCAGCCAAGTTTCTTCACAAGTTTCAGAGACTCCCGTGGGATCTCCCATTCGTCCTGTGCCCAGGGTCTCTGGGGAACCAGAGATATGCAGGGAGCCGTGAGTCTATGACACAAGCCATCACCCTTCTCTGTGAGAGGAGAAAGCACAGGAGGTCAGTAGGATGGGCCGACTCTTCAGACCGACATCTAACCTGCTCCTCCATCCATGTGCTTGGAAAAATCCATGGGATGCCTCTACATTCACACCACAGCCGTTTCAGTCACAGGGATCAAGGCACCCAGTATAGACCAACTTCAAGGAAAAAGCTCAAGGAGAAGCATATATGAGCAGATTATCTCTGCCCAGTCTCTCCAAATCCTGCCTCCTGCATTTCCCTTCAGCATTCACTCCATTTTTTTTCCCACTGGAGAAATAGCTGTGTGGTACAGAGCTTGCCCTCAGGGAAAGATCAGACTGAGTGCCCAAGTTCAGCTTGGAATAGGGCACCTTGCCCATGGGTGTGGATGGAGCAATGGTAACTGGTGACCCTGTCCTTGCCCTGCCCACACATTCACCTTCTGCGAGGAGATAGATCCATTAGGGAATGCAACTTACGGCAGTAATGATGGATTAGCCGTGGCAGGCTGGAAAAAGCAGTCCTGGGGGAGATGTAATACCCGCCACCATCTAAGGTGCGTATCCTGTAGTGTTTGATGATGTCCCCATGAGAAGTGTCACGGTCTTTCACTGACAAAGAATAGGCACCTGGGCAAAGAGCAGAAGAAGGAACTGTGAGGACAAGCAATGCCTGACACAGGGACCAGCTAACTCCTTTTTGCTCCACAGTTGCAGACTGTAACAGTATTGAATCCCTACAGACCCCAGGGCAAGTCCTACCAAGCTACAAAATTCCTTCTCTCCTAGTGGACCTGTTGGGACTTTGTTGAGTATTGGCTGCCTGTGCAACAACTAGCAGCCCCAAGGGAGAGATATGGGAATTCGAACATCATTAGTGAATCTCCAGATAGAAGCATCAATGACTCTCTTAAAGTCATTAAGGAGCTGCAGCTCCGAAAAGATTTAGGGGCCTTTTCATTTTAAAAGAGCTACCAAAGGATCTGAGACTCTAATCTGTTTTTCTCTTCTTAGAGTGGGTTTTAACCCCAACCATGGGCTTTTACACACAAAAACAGCACTAGATGTTGCTACAGCACAGCAGCCTCAAGCCTATTTCACTGCACGTTTCAATACAACTTCACAGTGTCTTTTTTTTCACCTCCCTTTGTCTGGATCCTGTTTCCGGAGTAAGTTGTTGTAAGCCTGCTGGGCTGTTCAAAGTCTAATATGTCACCTGGACTGATAGGCTGCCTTTTTAGTGTTTGGAAAGGCAAAGTTACATGTGCTAAAATATACGTATCTGTCATGTAGGATCATAAGCAGGAGCGGGACATTCCACGACGCCTCTGAAACCCTAATACTTCATGCGAGGGGGAAGTTTGCTAACATGTCATGCTCACTGACCGGCATTTCTCCATCACAGAACCAATTCTTACTGCAAGTCACCGCAGTTTCCTACAGTGACTGGAAATCATTCCTTGTCCTGATTGCACAAAACAAAACAAAACAAAATAAAAAAACAAAAACAGAAGAAAAGCAACTCTAGAAAAAGCAAATGTAGACATTTGCTCTGCTATACTATTTATAAGTCTTTATAAGCAGGATCTGGGAGATTCTAACTCTTTTCTTCAAGTACATGCAGTCATTTGGAGGCTATTCTTTTTTTTTTTTTTTCTGGAGAGACCAGGCTCTGACATTCTCCTAATTTTAAAAGAAGACAGAAAAGTTTCAGCTTTCTCTTCTCTCAGTGACAACGGCAAGTGAATAAAGTTAAGTGGAACCAGACAAACCAAGGAGGTTTGCCTGTCTTGTGGGTCAGATTCAACTCCACATTCACATACCTAGGGCTGATTCAATCACCTAAACGTGGGTGTTTCCTACCACTCAAGATACTCTGGGACATCCACATAGGCAAGGACAGTGTGAGACCACCCTCTCTGGTGGAGCACCTGGAGCTAGGCAGGACATCATGGGGCATCTCAAAGTCTTTAAGATGTTCAAGTTTTGTCAAGCAAATCAAACCCCATTACCTACAATAAGATCTCAGAAAACTACCATGTGTGAAGATACTTACATTTTGATTTCTATATGTCAGATTGAGTATTTATGATCCTTTATCTCTGAAGGCCCCTTGGTTTTCTTAACTCCTTACTATTTGTACAGAGTGTGGTATGGTACCGAATGCTGTTGTTGTGATCACGATAACTCCTTTGCACCCTGTGTCCCCTTCTGCAGAGAATGAAATCCTGAAGAGTCCAGGACTGAGAGTGATGCCATGTTCCAGCACCCACTGCTTCCCTGACTTGGGGTGAGAAACCCAAGATCTCAACAGGATACTGTGGCAACAGTGAGGGTGACAGAGCACTGGAACAGGCTGCCCAGAGAGGTTGTGGAGTCTTCTCTTCAGATCTTTAAAACTCACTTGGACCTGTGCCACTCTCAGTGACCCTGCGTGTGCAGGGGGTTGGACTAGATGATCTCTAGAGGTCCCTTCCAACCTTAAGCATTC